GTAGCTTCGGGCCTGGAGCCTGCTTCTGATTCTGTGTCTCCCTCTCTCTTTGCCCCTCCCCTACTCACACTCTGTCTCTCTCTCTCAAAAATAAACATTAAAAAAAAAATCTATCAACTTGGACCAAACTAGTAACCCTTGAGAAAATCCCTTCCTGGAAATCCTCTCCTGAGAAAGTGATTTTAGAAATCTGTGCTAAGAAAAACTTGGCTCCCACTGAGGAATAATATCGAGGCAACTGAAATTACAATGAATATAAGACAGTGTCACTAGAGTTTCAAATCCTATGTGAGAACCAGGGTATTCATGTCTCCCTTTTTGTTTTGACTTCTGGGAGAGTCATCCATAGCCGTTAGGTTTTTCTTTATGGTTGGCCTATTTATGGACTTTTTTCCCCTTAGCCCTGATTTTCTACTTCAAAATGCATTGTCTTCAGTGCTTGAGATTTCAGTTGCTGTGATACCATGTAGAAATAAAATAATTAAATGCAGAATAATAAATGGAAGTGAAATGCCTCTTTCTTGTTCATCCGGGTGGAGCCATCTTCATTGAAAAGGGTGGGTGCTGGCCCTCCTGGGCATGGTGGCCAGCAGGTGGCATCAAAGCTTTCTCACAGCCATCTAGTGAGGTGAGTTGGCCTGAAGGATTTTGTTCATCAGGCCCCTTCTTGGACTGTGCCACATATATGTGGAGCTGCTCCTGTCCAAAATGCTCTGGGTTTTGTTCTAGACATCGGGCAAGGCTGACCTAAGGGAGCCTGGCTTGTTTCTTTCAGATGCTCAGCCTATAAGACCAGTGTTTCAAAGAATGGGGTGGTTGCAGCAGTCTTCAACTGAACCAGGCTAGCTGGGGCGTGTGCCTCATTAATAGAAGCATTTTTTCTATATCATCTTAGGCAACTGGAAATGGGACCCTCATCACAGAGAGTTTAGGAAGCATGTCATAGGGACACAGAGAAGGGGCCTTTTCAGCTTCACCAAATACTCTGGTGACTTCTGTCTGAAATGGATATATTGACCCTAATTTTGGGCACACAGTCGGACAATAGTTATCACATCTCTAGAAAAATTGTTAAAAAGACCGAAGGGTGCCAACATTACCGTTGATATTTCTTCCGTCATTCAAATCATGTGATTTAAAGACATTTTGTATCTAGACTTCTATGCCCAAGATTAGAAAAAAGCCTTCAGTAAAAGTTGGAACAGTTTAATTATATAAGAAAATCTTTAAATTCAGGTTCTTGACCCTTCCTGAATCTATCTGTATAATGTAAAGTCAATTTCCCACGTTATTTTTCTCAAGCCTCTGCTATATCTGATCGATTGTATTTCCAGGGAATTAAAGAGAACAGAACCCTATAAATCATAAGAGGAATCTGCGTTGAGGCCAGAAACACGGAGCTATGTGGGAGGCAGGGAGAGGGAAGAGGACTATTCAGCTTCCCACTGCTCTCCTGAAATCCAGACTTGAGATCATTGACCACAATGGCTGGTTGATGCCATTCTGGGGGCTTGGTGGGGGTGGGGAAAGCTCTTCACGGTTAGTTTTATTTGCCCTTAAAAATCTCTCCCAGGAATTCTAAATCTACTGAGGTGTTTCTTACCTGATGAATTCAAGAATTCTTTCATCTACAGAAAGCCCAGCAGGGGGATAGATTCCTGTATTTCTCCTGATTTACGTGATCTTCCTGATAAAAGTAAACATTTGGTCTTACCTGGAATGTACTAGACAGTGCCGTCCAACTGACTTCCACGTGGCTGTTCTCCTGTCTTTGGGTCACAGGGCTCAAAGAGCACACAGTACTATAATCCATTTCGTACAACCACGTGTCAGCCCTCCCATCACAAAAGTGTCTTTGGTGGCTCTACAACCCACCCCCATGGGTAACCCAAGATGATTTCTGTAGGGCTTGGCAGGTCAGTTAGGAACTACCTAAGAAACATTTGATCTTTATAGCACATACTAGGTGGTGTTCAGAGTAGGCCACAGTGGGACCATAAGCAGTAATTTGTGGGGGGGGGGGGTTTGAAAAGAGACAAGTAAGGGGGCACCTGGGTGGCTCAGTCAGTTAAGAGTCCGACTTCGGCTCAGGTCATGATCTCACGGTTCATGGGTTTGAGCCCCGGGTCAGGCTCTGTGCTGACAGCCAGCTCAGAGCCTGGAGTCTGCTTCAGATTCTGTGTCTCCCTCTCTCCCTGACCCTCCTCTGCTCACACTGTCTCCCTCTGTCTCTCAGAAATAAATAAAACATTAAAAAATTAAAAAAAAAGAAAAGAAAAGAGACGAGTAAGAAATGTGTTGTGAATTAGACCAGGACACTTGGTAGCACCACGCCCCACCCCCTGCGCAATGCTGGGGGGAGGTATAAAGTCAAAAAGGGACTGGGTTCCATTAAATGACAAAACATTAGGGCTAAAATCTAGACTTTCTATACCACAGAGCCTAATACCGGAGGGAAATAATTTGAGACAGCCTCATGTTTTTTTTAATTGAACAAATTTATTGAGCATTTGCAGTATGCCAGCACCTATCACAACAAAAATAACCCAAGAGTCAGGACAGCCCAGTGGTTGTCAGGAGATGAGGAAAATGCTGGTGTACAGCCAGAGGTTGAAGCTATGGCTTCGTCAATCTCTCTCTGTGACATTCTTCTGCACAGAGTGTACCGCCACTTCCGACCGCAGCCCGAGGGGGAAGGGGAATGCCTGAATGTGGTCTGTAGCGGGCTTCCCTCAGTGCTCCCCCCAGGTTATGGGGGCAGCTTGCATTTCCTGCTTTTAAATGGCATCACTGACATCTTTGGGGTTGCTGAATTTGGTAGACTGGACCGTGCTGAGGGTGGGTCAGTAAGAAGGGGTCAGCCCAGAGAGCATCAGGGTTGGGCTCCAAAGCAATCCTAGGGGTGCATGCAAGTCTATTCAACAAGGGTACTGGTGGGGGTGAAGCCAGGAGGAACCATCACTTGGCAGTTGGTCCACTTGTTTATGCCCCATTGACGTTTGCTACTCACGAGCTTGCCTCCTGGTCCTTAGAGGCTGCATCGACACCTCTGAGTTATTTTTCTCTTCCCTAACATGTTGTTTTTCATCCTCAGCTGCTGTGAGTCACATTTCCGGATAGGAGGTAGACAGCTCGTGGCTTTCTAGGAACCATCGCAGCAGAAAGAAGTCCCTCACTGCTCTGAGCCCTGTGGCTCTCTAGTCATTGGCATGATGTGAGGACCCCACAGCAGCAGAGGGCTGCAGACTTAGATGCTTAACTGCTGACTGCGCCCGAGATCATAAATCGACCTCGGTCTAGTGAGAGGGTTAGGACTGTTCTTGTAAACAAAGCTTTATTGGAACTCAGCCACGCCCATTCACTTACGTATCTTCCATGGCTGCTTTCACACCAAGATGACAGAGGTGAGTAGTTGCAACAGAAACCAAATGGCTGGCAAAACCTAACATGTTTGCTACCTAGCCCTTTCGAGAAAAAAGTTTGCTCATTCATGGCCCAGAATTATAAGAAATCATGTTTTTATTTACTTAAAATGGAGACTGTTATAATTTGGGAGGCCAGGAATATCCAGAATGTTTGGAACAGGATGGGAGGTTCTCATTACAGGGATGGCAAAGGCTTAACGGCAGCCTGGAAGAGGATTCTGAGGCTGTGTCTGGACTGGTGCGGGCACTTCCAGAGAGGTGAGAGCTGGGCCACGGGTCATGTAGGTGAGGAGCACCAGACTGGGAAATGAGCAAGGCAAATAAATCCATGCCCTTCTTTCCCAAAGGTGAGTAGCAACCAGGCACAGCTCGGCGCTGCCCCTGGTGGCGGCACTTGGCACTGCTGAGTTTGGAATTGTAAACATACCCTTACTGGAGCGAGAAAGGTGAGATTTAACTACCATTCAAGCTCGACAGAAGCAGACAACAGGCAGAAAAGGCTAAGGCTGGGCTGGAGCTCTGGCTTCAATTAAGGCTTCTATGCACTCATGGAAGGCTAGCAATGAAATAGTGTTTGTCCAGGGCGGCATTTCCTATAAAGCTTCTGGTTTGGAGAGGATGGGGGCATTTATTAATCTGTGCAATCAAAATGCCACTTTAAAAACGTTACAAATTATTTAAAAACGAAAAGATCAGGGTGTATGACAACGCATGTTTATTGGAAAAAGTGGTATAAAATGTGGCTCTTGTCATTTATATAGAGACGTATTTACATAGCCCTTAGATTGTGGGTTTTAAAAAAGAATCTTAAGACTACCTACCCCTATGACTAATATGCTATTATTTTGAAACTCCAATGAGCAATTCTTCAGTGATCCAAATAAATCCAGGTAGTGGAGTGGTCTTCTGCAGACTACTTGTTACAGTGAAGATGTCCTTGAAAGGTGGATGCAAATCTGGTTTTTGGAACTCAAATCATAAAAGAGTCTGTTACTCAGGATAAATCCTTCTAAAATATATTAGCTACCTTTGCATAAATCCAGATTTTCTGATGTTGCATGGCATCAAAGCGAGGCACTACCATAGTCTGATAGATTTTTACCGTTTTATCAAGCTGAGTTTTTTCACTACAAGCACTCCCTGGAAATTCTTAAGGCCACTGCTCCCTGGTAATGTAAATACGCAGAATCCAGTAAGTTGTACCTTACATTATTGTGCCCTAATCTCTCATACAGGTCATTTAGGATCTTCCCCACATTCAACATTTTGGCTTTAATTGTTTTTCCTTCACGGCATGAAAAATTGCCAAATCAGCTCCGGCTGACTAGGTTTTCTTTTCATTTCAAATAATTATATGAAGCATTTAAATTGCATGAAGTGCACTAGACCATATCTCAAAAGGAATTGAGTATTCAAAAACATTTTTACAACAAGAAGCTTGAGAATGTATTTGCGTAAAAACGCTAGTACTTTTCCACCCAGTCTCTAGAAATCCGGCCCCTCTCAGGTAAGCTTGGGCAGTGCGGCTCCTGTGCTGATGGACCGGGCGGGGGGGTGGGGCAAAGGTCGGGGGAGCCGGCTGAGAACGGAGAGCGCGCGCGGGGTTCAGACCCCAGAGGGGCCAGTCGGACCTGAGCCAGTGTGTCTGAAAAGCCGGAGCAGGGAGCGTTCAGATGTAGAATTCCTCCATATCATTGTCCGCAGGTGCAGCCAGCACGGCGGGTGGGGGGGGGGCGTCCCTGCGGGTCTGCTCGGCACTGGGAGCACCACCGGCGAACTCGGGTGAGGACTCTGTGCGCAAGGAGGTGCCGGAAGCAGGCGGGGCGGCAGCAGCTGTGGCGGAGGAGCTGGAAGGGCCTTTGGTGAAGAACGGGAGGGAGGCCCAGGAGGTCTCCGTGGTCACCCCACTCCCAGCGGGCAGCGGCCCTTCTCTGGAGCCCCTGGGCTTGGGCCAGTGGCTGCCGCATCTTTCAGAGGGGAGGGTGGCGTCCCCGCTGCCGCAGAACCTGCTGGGCGCGGAATACGCAGAGACCACCGAGAGGTCCGAGGAGGACAGGCGCAGGCCCGTGTCCACGTCTGTCTCCTGCGCCCCCTCCAAGTCATCGATGGAGAGGAGGCCCCGCGGCCTGTGCCCCGGGTCGCCTGTGTTTGAGAACCACTGTGGCAGAGCCGAGGAGCCCGGGGAGGGGTCTCCTGTGGGCAAACAAAACAAGGACTTGCTTCTCTGGAAAGACCAGGGGAGGCTGGGAGGGCTGCTGGCTCGTCTGGCAAACTCCTGCCGGTGCCCAGGAGGCAGGCCCGCGGGGCCGGGCCCCGGGTGTGACCTGCCCGGCAGGGGCTGCCGGCCGCCGCCAGGTGCGCTGCTCGGTGCCGCGGAGGCGCGCGGGGGAGGCGCGGGGGGAGGCTTCTGCTCCGCTGAGGCCTGAGTTCTGCCGGCTTTAGGACACTGCTTGTGCACCCTCTGCGCCTGCCGGGGGAGAGGGGACACCGGGTTAGCGGAGGACTGGGGTCCTCTGGGGATGAGGATGTTCAATTCGTCACGAAACACACGTACTGGAAACCGGAAAATTCCAGCAGTGTCATGGCCACGAATCGCCAGAAATTTCATTCTCCAAACTCTAAAGCGAAGACCGAGGTGGCAGAGCCTGGGAGGGTGTGGGTCAGACTTCTCAGCCCAAGGGGCGCGCTCAACCTGCGAGGAGACGCAGCCCCTTGCCACGCAGGGAGTAACTACTTCAAGTACTCAGGGAGGGGCGCCTGCGGGGAGGACGAGCCGCAAGGAGGAGGGCCTGGCTGCGCGTGACCGGGGGAGAATTACCATTACCAGCAAGTGCAAACAGAATGCTTGGAGGGTGTGTTTGTCTCCAACCAGAGCACCGCTATCTGCATGTAACCGATGGGAAGAGGGCGATGGGGCGGGGGAGGGGAGATATCACAGACGATCTCAGGTCAGAAAACACAGGACTTGATTCCAGTACACGTGTGATTGCCAGGACCTATCCTACGGGTGGCCCGTGGCTCAGGGCAGTAAATCTATGATGAGTGAGGGGCTATCAGGAAATTAGCATTTATTGATTTGCCGTCTGGGGCCACAGATCTTCCGCATACCTCGTGGACAGGAAGGGGGGCTGCTGACGACGGCCTGGCACCTCGGGTGCTCAGAGAGCTTGGATAAGCAGTCTCTCCGCCTTTAACCCCTCACCCTGTTGTGCTAGCCGCCTGCCCTCTGTCGCATGGAACTGGGGACCTCTCTTCCCAGCGCACATTCCCACTGGCGTCTGCTTCTCTCAGATTCTTCCTCTGGCCTAGCTTAGTGCCCAAGCCTATGGGCCAACCTTACTAGGCAAAGTTTCCATGAAATGATGGATTTGGGAACAGGAGGCCTGGCTCTATTTAGTAGCGGATTGAAATAAGTGCCCCTGAAGTGCACTTGGACTTGCTTGCTAAGGGGCGCGCAGCTCACGGAGACGCATCCTCCGGCCACGCGCAGTGTCAGGGCCCGTGAGCCAAAGCGCGGCCAGCAGGGCCTGGACCAGCTCCTGAATGAACAGGTAGAGGTCACAGGCCACAGGCCCCGGATGACCAGAAGCGACAAGAATTCGCCCAAGCGAGGCCGCGCACGAGACCGTGTGCTCGGCCGGTTCCACCGCTGGGGAGGTCGGTCTGCACAGAGCTGGACTCGGAGCCCAGTTCCGGAACCTTCCACTGGTACCGGGCCATGCAGGGAGCGGCTCACGTCAGTGGGGGCGCCTCCCAGGAGCCCGCCAACCACTGCCTCCTCTGCGCAGGCTTCCGTGCCGTCCGCCCAGCAGAGGGCGAGGCTGAGACCGGAAGTCGCAGAGGCCCCCTAGCGGCCGAGGCCGGCGCCCCTGGCACCCGCAGCGGTGAGCTTGGGCCCTGCTCCTGGGCCCTGCTCCTGGGCTCCGCGGTTAGCTGTCCTGTGATGTGCTTTATGAATAAAAAGCTTTTATATTAAAAAAATTTTTTTATAACACCTACCATTTATTGAACATATACTATATAACAGGCCACTGTGCTAAATTCATTACATGCAATGCTTTCCTCAATACCGCTATCTTATGAGGCAACTGGTATTATCCTCATTTAGCAAATGAGGAAACTGAGGCTCAGACTCTGCCCAAAGTATCTCAATAGCTAAGGAAAGGTCTGGACTCTGGTCTACCTGTCTACACAATGCACCTCCCCACTGTAAAAGAAAGACTGGTTTAGTTAGCAGCCTGTTAGCTATTTCATACATCTAGATATGTGAATGGTCAGATGGAAAGCACTATATACTTTGAGGCCAAGAGAAGAACATAGGTGAGTAGTGGGGGGGAGGGGGAGCATTCAGTTCTGCCCTGTCAGTCTCTGTCTCCTACATCATCTGGGGTTTGAAGGAGGGCACAGAGCAGGGGATAGAGGCGGCGGGAGCTCAATCCTGTTGTCTTTATAAACAGCCAGCAAAACTAACAGGAGGGCATAACGCAGGTTCACATCTGGATACGTGTTGAGTCTTGCCGGGGGAACCAGTCCAATGATGGAATTGCCCAAAATGCACTTAATGCACTCTTAGGCCATCATCCCCAGAGCGACTCCAACTCTGATACTAGTGTCTTGCTAGCATGTGTCACTTGCTCATCGGAGACTCTGCCTTTACCAGGGTGTTAGGCACCTACACACTGAGTGACCTACCTACCATCACAGTGGTCCAAGTTGCACTTGAAATAACGATTTGGAGTATGGTTCACGGTAAGGGATATTTCCTGGCACCCAGCAGGCTATGAGACACCAGCCCTTCCCTACACAACAAACACCTTTGCCTCTCTGTTTAATGGGAACGGAGTCTTCCCACAGCCACTTGGGAACTACAGTTGAATGTAATATACATTTATTGTGTATCCGCTACAGGTAAAGGAGGGAGGACTACAATGAAACACAGTCTTTGACCACATGAAACTTACATTTCACTGAAAAGACATGAGATAAAAAGAAATTGTTCACACAAGAAAGAGACTGTGATGACAGGCACAATATTGGGCTAGGAGGAAGAGACCATGCCTGCCCAGTAGGAGCAGAGGAAGCTTGAGTGGAGGTGGCTGTAAAGGTGAGCCTCTGAGATGGGTAGCTGTTCTCCTGGTGGATGGCATGAGTGGAGAGGAGTCTGTTCTGGAGAGAGGCCAACCCAAACAGAGGCAGGTAAGCAAGGAACTTGCAGGGGGCACTGAGCAGTTTGGCTTGATTAGAGTCCAGGTGCATGAAGAGCAGTGATGGCAGATAAAGTTGCAAATGGAGTCTGGTGCCATATTGGTCAAGGAGACCTTGACGAACTGGGTAAGAAGTCTTCATACTTAGTTTTATGTTGAAGTCTTAACTGTTGGAGTTTTTTACATATGACCATTCCTTTCATTGATTTCTAAGATCTCTGCCTAATTACAGATACTGCAATCTTTTAAAAAAGTTTTTAAATTTGAGAGAGAGAAGAGTATGCAAGTGAGGGAGGGGCACAGAAGGAGAGAAAGAATCCCAAGCAGGATCTGCGCTGATGTGAGGCTTGATACCATGACCCATGAGATCATGACCTGAGCCAAAATCAAGGGTCAGATGCTTAATGACTGAGTCACCCAGGGGCCCTGGTATCTCTTAACCTTATAAACAGACTAATTGACTCTTTCAGTCAGTATTAACTGAGGGTCTTTTATGCAAGCTTCCTCACTGCTGTGTTTAAGCTTTGAATGGGTTATCAAAGCTTGCGCTCAGGTGTGCTGAGATCTTGATCTCTTTCACCAGCAGCCTCTTGCACTATATAAATATTATCATTTTCTATGTGCTTTTTGGTGTGAAAAAAGGTCTGGAGAGCCAGGCACAGATAATTTTCGGTAAGAAGTGGTCTTAGCCCCCAATAATTAACAATAGTGTTCAAGCGTCATAAAGTGAGTTCTGACGATAAAGTGACAGCAATATATGGGCCATGTTAGGGCACAGAGGAGGGAGAGGATGAGTTAACAAAGGGGTGAGGCAGCATGGGGAAAGGTAGAGAAAGCTTGCTCAGTAAGTCATACTTGGATGAAATCTTGGACGTGAAAGAGGTGTTTGCCAACCAGGGGCAACAGGTATGGCATAGAAGCACACTGCCACACAAAAGCAGCCTGATTGGAGGCTCGAGGCATGAACCAAAGCCAAGAGGTGAGCTGTGTTGAGAGGAGCCTTGTCGTGGCGGCCCCAAATGATGTGTATGTATAAGGAACCTGCACTTCAAAACCCAAAGGCTTGAAAGCAAGATGGTGGCATGGCCGAGTCTGTGGCAGCAGCGTAGTCTGTGGATGGGGATGGAGGCAAGACTGGTGGCAGAAAGAGCATTTGGAAGACAGTGCTGTAGTCTTTCACGTTTTAAGATTGATTACAAATAAGCTGTATTTTCAGTTGGTCGCATGAGTTTCTTAAACATCAATTCAGATAGTCGGGATTTTGTATGGATTTTCCGTTCAGCCTTCCTGATCCTCCCCCTTAATTCTCAGACTGTACATTCTGTGGATGTGTACCCCTGTCCTGCCCTCCAGGCTCTGAACAGCGTGTTAAGATTCCCAAGTCATTCAGCTAAGGGTAGCTTGAGGAGCTAAAGGTGAAAGCAATTAAGGAGATTTCTGATGGTCTGATTTATTGATGCTTGACAAACATGATGCAAAATGCTTTTAGTACAGAATATGAGTGAGTTCAGTATGAGTCTTCTAAAGATAGCACCCTCGAGGCTGTCCTCACCATAACACTTCAGTTTGGAGCAGCCCCAGCTTTTACGTGCATGAGGGACCTAGGTGAAAAGGGCAAGGAAGACACCGAGCCAAGCCGGTCCCTGCTGGGGTATGGCCCACTCACGAGGCTCGCTGCTCTGTGCTCCGGCATGTCCTAGACTCCACCTGACCCTTCTGACTCTACACTGTGCTGCTCTGGCCAACTGTTCGTCCGCAAGGCTCCATGCCCCACGAGGGATGTGCTGTGTCCAGTGCCGGACACCTAAGGGAAGGGAAAGCATGAAGAGCCCTACCTTTGGGATGGGGAGAGGAGCAGCCTCTGAAGGCAGAGCGGTGCCCAGGAGGTGTCACAGCTAGGTAGCTGTTGGAGAGGCAAACTGATTTTCTTAATCACTGGAGTCTGGCCAAGCAAGAGAAAGTGAATTATGAAGCTCTTTAGAGAAGGAAGTCCTTGGGTATGGAGGATGCTTTGGGACGGGAGAGGCAGTGTTTATTAATTAAAATGTCTATCAGGGCCCATTCCCTTGGGGGCCCCAATAGATTTTCTTACTTGATAAATACGCACCACCCTATAACTTCTGTCTTTGGAGATTTCTTCGAAGAGCATGCTCTGGGTGAGCATGTCGGCGTTCTCAATCTGCTTGAAAACGGGAGCCTTTGAACATTACTGCCTGAGAAGCAGAAGGCCAAGGTTCCCAAGAAAGAAACTGCTAGGAGACAT